AAAGATTGGAATTTAGCAGTAATTGTTGTTGTTGTCAATTTGTGTCTTTTACAGACAAATATCACTGTCCTGTAACATTCAAAGTCTTCAATAACAACTCACACATTGTTGCTGTCAAAACAACTGGAAATGTCTTCTCATATGATGTAGGTTAAAAGTCTTTGCATTTCCCATGTACTACTTTTAGTTCCTGACCAGTGCTGAATGAATCAGAGGATGAAGAAATAAACCAGTCAAAGGAATAATTCCTTTCTTTGGTTTGTAAACTGACAAATTTGTGGTTCTCTAGGTTCTTTTTGATGCAAATATAATATAAATATTTTCTTAATTTTATCCCTGAATGAGACATGCAGCTTTGTTTTCTTAGTGCCTTCCTTTTGGGTGGGAAAGTGTATGCCAAGTGTATGGTGGGGAGTGGATATAAATCTTTGTCATATGCTTGAACCAGTAGTTTATGTCAAAGAAACTTTAGTGTGATATGGCAATAAAAAACATTAGCTTCTGCTTTTTGTTGATCCCATAAAATGTTCTTAGCAACATCTTTCACAGAAACTATGAATCACCACAAAATTTCTAACCTCAGATGGGTTTTCATATCCCAAATTTCAAACGCTAAATAAAATATTTAATATTAATACTTAATATTAATATTTAAATTTAATATTACCTAATGACACCCCTCCTGATCTCATCCTGTCACTACAGAGTCACTGTGTACATGTAGGACTGTCTCTTAGTTATATTAAAGTTTTCAGCAAGGAATTTGTTTCTTCCTGACCAATAACAGGCAGTGGAACAGTTAAATCTAAAAGCAAAGAACTTCAAAGATCTCCTCACCGATGAACCATTTACACGTAAAGACATAATAACTATACAGGTTTGTCGCTCATTCAATGTTTTAAAGTCCATAGCTGCAATAATGCTAGTCAAAAAGTGCAAGAATGAAAAAAAGAAGTGCTTAATTGTTTTTTACGTTGTTAATTTTTCAAATGTTAAGTTAGTAATACTGGTTTATCAGTTGAAATAAGGGAGGTGTGGTGGCCTCATGGTTAGTGCGCTTGACTCAGGATCAAGCGGTCCGAATTTGAGCCCTGGCTGAGGACATTGTGTTGTGTTCTTGGGGAAGACATTTTACTCTCACAGTGCCTCTCTCCACCCAGGTGTATTATAATGGTGGGGGTAACCCTGTGATGCACTAGCATCCCGTCCAGGGGGGAGTAGAATACTCCTGGTTGCTTCATGCTACAGAAACCAGGCATAAGCGCTGGCCTGATGGGCCACTTGGCCCATATGCAGACTTTACCTATCAATTTACATAACATTTTTAATATTGCTTGTCATTTTTCCAGATTTTCACATGTTTTGATTTAAATTGTTTTCCCAACAGGATCCAACAAGTCTTGACAAGTTTAACCTGGCAAATTTCCACCATCTAAAAAACAACTTGAAAGTGGTGAATGAAGGTCTGTTTTGTATTCATGGTGCAATAAAAGTTGTCTCAAATAGCCCAGTAGAGTTGTTTCCATACTAGCAGCAAGCCTTGACCCTTGCATGAGAACTCAATATGTAGACAACAGTCTGGAGAAAGTAAAAAATAGCTAGCAAGAGATAACTGTACAATAAATACTTTTGATCATTTGTTCAGAGGAAGAGAAAGCAAAGAAGGATCCAAAGTATTATTTGAACAGAGCCAACAAAGACACACTTGGCATTCTTAGTGAGCTGGAAAGAACGTACAAAGAACCTGTAAGTAAACTTTACTTTATCTGTCATTCTCTATGCTG